TCCATTTTTCCATTATCCCTATACGCAGTTCAAGCATCATTGTAAGGCTCCGAGATGACGTCAAACCATCCTGGGCATTGACGAAAATTACTCACTCTCTCCCCCCAAATTCGGGTTTAGGGTTTAGGGGCTCCCCCCAAATTCGTGGTTTGGGGTTTAGGGCTTAGGGGTCAGGGTTTAGGGTTCTCCCCGCCACGGAAGAAAGAATACTACTTATAGTCTACTTATAGTACATATATACATGTACACATATATAGGTAATATCTTGATTCAAGCCCACTTGGGACAGGGGTGGTGGGTAACATCTGGAGGAGGGGCTATAGGGGAGTTTAAGTTTACCATATCAAGGTCACATCGGTGTAAACCCTAAACCCTAAACCACTCTAAATCCTGAACAGCTTTGGGTGCAAGGTTCACGGTGAATGGTTCGGGCACGTCTTTGGGCGGACGTTTTAAGGTGAGGAGTCTAGGGTTTAGGGCTTAGGGTTCAAGGGGTCAGGGGTCCTGTTAGAACACTTTTGCTGCTTCTGGTTTCTACTACTACACCACTACAGCCAAGCCTGCTACTTCTTGCACCATGTCTACTATCACTTTGGCACTTTTGGCTTCCGCCTGCCTTCTAGCAACCATCCTGTGCGCGCATGCCTACCAAAAAAAATTGACAGCGTGCATCTCTTGATGATCCCTGGTAAGTGCTAGGAAGTGTTACAGCTACTTGCCCATTCGGAGACTACAGACCTTCCTAAACCCTATACCCTAGATCCTCAAACTTCAACCCTGAACCCTGAACCCTGAAAGTCCTAGGTATCCGGCGGATTCTACCGTTTTACTGGCTTGTAGAAGGTATTGGAGGAATGAATCCCTACAGTTCTTCTTCATTCTCGAGAGTACCAACCCTGAATCCTAAAGAGTAGCTTCAATTTCCTTTTCCATCCTCAATTTCCTACCAGCAACCAGCAAGTGAGCGCTTGACCCTACCCTCTCCCTAAACCCTAAACCCTAAACCCTAAACCCCATATCCCTAGGAACCACGAGCTTCAATTTCGGGACAGTACCGCAACACCGGACAAGCAAAATTGAAGAAAATGCTGAATGAAATGGAGACCGGGGTTATATGGTTGTACAGCTGGTTATCGCATAGGTCTTGATTGGATTTCGGTAACCCCAAAGTATGGAAGATCAAGTGGAAAGCAGATGAAATAGCCCCTAGGAAACTCCTATGTACCTTGAGTACTGCCCCCCAGTAACAGTCTATATTAGGGGTCCTATTAAGGGCTATATGTAACCATATTACAATTGTTATCCAACTGTTACTGCGTGGGGGCAGTACCCAAAATATGTCCTATGTAACGTCTCTGCGGAGACCTAGCGAGCAGCAAACCTTGCATTCCAGACACGGTCCGGCCAGTGCACCCAATGATCTCCGGGCGCAACTAGCAGGGCATACCTACGGGGCATAAAATGAAACCAAAGGTTCAGGGCTCAGAGGCGGGGTGTAGATAGGGTTCATGTAGAATTTTGGCAGGGGGTTTAGGGTTTAGGATTTAGGGTCTTGGAATTCGGCAGAAAAAGCCAAAGGACAGGGTTCTCCCCGGTAGCCACACTGTGCCAAGGTTGTACGGCAACCCACTCATGACCGCAAAAAACCTGCCAACTGAATTCCTAAAAACCGTAGGCATGGCCCCTCAAAAAACACGTACTGTAGGGATTAAGTGGACCCCCCACCCAGTAATAGTGGCTATAAAGGATGCGGGGTGGGGGGGTCCTCCTAATGTAGGGATCATACATGGGGATATACCCGACAATAGAAAATCGAGTGAGAGGGAAACTGGGATGAAATTGGGGTCTGTGGGGATGTGGCTTTCCCAAGCTTAGGGCGCCCTTTTCGGACTCCTTGCCTAAAGGATGATAATATAGTGAGACTATCTGAGGATAGACATAAATTGGGGTCTGCATGAGGGACCGCAATTTTTGGAAACCTGAATGCATTCCTTCAAAACAGCCCATGTACAAAAAAAGTTGCTTGTTCTCAGTAAGGAATAAGGGAACATACCCCGAAATATAAGCCCTGAAAACATTTATATATATACCGTAAACCCTAAACCCTAAACCCTAATTATGTGTATGTACTCCTTTATTCCCTACCACAAAACAATAAGACAAGGGCCCGAAAACGCCAACCCTAGAGCCTGGAGCTAAGACTGGGCTGCTGCCAAAGAAGTTAAAGTCGGATACAAGAATGTGTATATTTCGGTCTTAGGGTTTAGGGTTCAATAATAAGGTTTCCTTGTGATATTCACTTCATTTAAACTCAATAGGATACAAGAATGTGGAATTTTCTGGGCTTTGGGTTTAGGGTTCAATAATAAGGTTGCCTTCTGATATTCATTTCATTTAAATTCAATAACAGCAACCCAGAAAATCTTCCGGCAGTGGGCATGCTACGTAGAAGTCACGAAACGATTACCAGTGTCATCTTCGGGTCTTTTAAAGGCATCCTTTACCATGACTATACCAAGCATCTACGACCACCATATTGGTAATTATTTAGGTCCCTATGGTAGCCTCTCGCCTTAGTCAATGCATGGGAACGTATACCACCCAACCTACTCGGCCTCCCATAATGCTCTCCTATATTGTCCCCCGTATAACCCCCTTTAAGGAGTTTCGACTGTATACATTCCCATGACAGTTGGGGATAAGAGAATGCATCCACATTATGATTCCCCTACCATGTCCTATACATTTCTCCATCACCACTTACCTGCTGCCCTACTAAGCCTAAACATTGGTCCGTTCTTGTGGGAACTCGCAGAAGGAGCTTCCAGACCCCCCCTGATTTCAGGAAACTGTCAAGTCTACGTTGCCAGCATCTGCTGCTAAGATTGAAAGGCCTCAAGAGTCTTGGTGCAGCCACGTAATTACCTTCACAAACTTTGTAATTTGCCTAAGATGTATCTTAGCCCAATTGCAAGGCATGCGAACAGTCTATGTTGGTTTGCTGCTTGGCCAGCACCTACTTTACTCAAAAGGAAGAAATGTTTTTGCTTTTTATTGGGGACTATGGTCACCTTCAAACAAAGTACTACACACCTGCAGGCGGAGACACGCAGCCCATTTTGTAAGCGAGGTGGACTGGCTGCCTAATTCGCTCTTGCACCTCCGAAAAATGGCATCTTTGGCGCTGCGCGCTATGCTGACTGCTTAGCAGCAAGCTTTTAATAAGTGGTCCAGCCTCAAATGTCGACATACTTCCAATCCCAGTCTCCCGGGCGTGCACCATCATCATCACGTCCTCCGGGTCCTCCGGGACTGCCGCCTCGGCCATCATCGTCCCTGCCTCCTCTTCGACCGTCATCATCTCGGCCACCACCTGGCATCTCGCCATCATCACCACGACGTCCATCATCATCTCTTGGGCCGCGCGCACGTCGGTCATCGCGTCCACGGGCATCATCACGTCCATTGCGGCCGTCACCATGTCCACTGCGGCCATCATCGCGTCCGTTGCGGCCATTATCGCGTCCCCGGCGGTCATCACGGCCTCGACCTGGGGAATCATCACGTCCATGGCGGTCATCATCACCACGTCGGACACGGCCGTCATCTCGTCCTCGGCGGTTGTCATCACCTCTTCGGCTACGCACACGGTCATCACGACCTCGGCTACGTCCATCATCGCGACCGCGACGATCATCACGTCCATGGCGGTCATCATCCCAGCCACCCCTGCGGTAGTAGCTAGGGGACCCCGCGAGGTCGCCGCTGCTGCTTTCGGTCGGGGATCCAGGACTCTCGAGGGGCGCCTGAGCCTCTCGCATCTCCAACCTTGGCAATGCGGTGTCAACTCAAACAACCCAGAGCGCAGCAAACACACGAGCTTTGTTTCAGCAAGTTGTCTCCCCTGCTTCCAGGATATCCTCAGCCCTAAGAGGTCTAGGAAAGTGACGTTGCACATGTTCTTTCCTCCCTTGCATTGAAAGTGTCAAGGCATATTGCTTGAAGGTATTAAACGATGCAGGGTCACAAGCTGGTCAAACAACTTTTGCTGCACTGATGCAAAGTCTATGTCAACCCAGCTGTAAATTGAGGACGTTTCAATTGGGGATTGTCAAGAACGGGTTGAATACAGTAGGAGGTGACAAGGCACACCTGAGTGCATGAGTACCATAATCCTCTTGTTATGGGGACCCCTTTTTGGGGAACAAACAAATGAGTGCTTCGTGAACTAGGCCCAGTAGCTGGCGAAGCCTCTCCATTGCACGGAGCTTGTCGTGGCGAGTCTCGTTCCAGTGATGTGGGCCTGTTGTACGGGCGCTCTTGAATTTTCCAACAGGGCCCTACAAAGACAACTGCCCTTGTTCAAGGAGCTGGCAGCTTCCATCTTAGGTTGGGGAAGGATAGTTCGACTAAGAATTGAGGGTCGAAAGAAAGCTCCTTTTGTGCTGGATCACTAAGGAACTCTGGATCCGGGATCCGATATAGAGTCCCCAACTCCCTTGACAGTGAAACTTTCCTTTTCCGGCAGGGCGTGGAACGGGGGCTTCTCCCTGCATGAACACCAAAGGCAATGATGTGGAAGCCGAAAGTTGTTGCCCACAATGAAGAACCAAATGGAACAGAAAATGTGATGCGAAATGAGAATTGGTTTTATTTGAGGTCGCAGAAGCCGAGCTTCAATGCTATGGTGGATGGAAAGTATCTTGCACCACTTGGGATCCGTAAAAATCCGGCAATTCTGGTGGTATGTACAGGGTATGTAAGATTGTGAAGACGTTGGCTTGCGGATATTTCCAAAAGAGTTGCCGCGAGAAAACCTGCAGAACCTCATTTCAAAGCCCCCAGGCTCCGATCTTCGACTTGGGAAATGCTGAAACCAACTGCTTCACGTTTAGGGTTTAGGGTTTAGGGCACCTCCGAATTTTCTAACAGCATGTACTCAATTGAGGAGCAGAAGCCTCGGCCCCAGAAGCAAATCCAAGATTTGGACACCCTTGACCTCCCAAAATTCCGAACTGTGGCCATGAAAATGTGGAGGTTTAAGGTTTAGGGTTTAGGGTTTAGAGCATAAGCAACATCGTTGAACAGGACACCAACAGACTAAGGTCCGTCGCAGCAAGTACTTCTGTTGCGCAATACCCGCTAAATGGTAGTGTCCCTAAATAGGGGGACCCCAATATAGACCCCAATATATTACAATCCTTGTTATTGGGACCCCAAAAGAGGTACCCCCAGTTTTAGGAAACCCGTACGCACACAGGCCTACAGCTTGCTGGTTGCTAGTAGCAAATGGAGTATGGGATCCCTATAGTAGCCACAACATATAGTCCCCCTTAAGTAGATAGACTATGGGGTATATGGGGATCCTCTTATAATATACCAAAGGCCATATTCTATCTACTTGGGGGACTATAACCCCAATGCTATGGCAGCTTCCATTTTCTTTTCCATTCCTACTATCAACCAGAAAGAGAGTACTGGTCTGCCCCCAAAACACTTATGTAGAAGCCTAGATATTTAGGGTGGGCAATAGAACGATCGAATGGAAAAGAGGATGGAAAATGAAATGGAAACTGAGATCTTATCAGGGTATATGGGGATATACTACCCCAATAATGGAGAATCAAATGGAAAAGCAAAAGGCAACTGGGCTTGCACAGGGGTATATAAGGGCATTGTATAATGTCGAATCTGCGTCAACCATGTCATTTCAGAACCTGAAACGAAGGCAATTTAGGACTATGCTCTACATCGACTGCGATTGAAAGAACGATCTGCTAAGGTCGTTAGAATTTGCCCAGGAAATCGTCGCACCCAACCAGAGGAATCTCAAGAAGCTTTCAAAAAGATCCTTCTTCTTGGGGCCCCCGACAGATTGTTCCAAAACGCAGAAGGCAAACCCTTTCGGCCTGTACCATGTCCCCACGCCATATCGGGGCGGACCTTTAAAGTCATTGTAGAGTTTAGGGTTTACGGGGAAGGGGCTTTGGGTTTTAGGGAGTAAAGTTTTCTAGTTTACTAGGGATGACGGTTTCGCCTAAAGGTTGAGGGATTCTGTGTGCCTCCAGTGATGAGAGCGGTGATGGAGGCTTGAAGTAAATTTCACGCAGGTCTTTCTGGGGACCGGAATAGTCATCTTCCCCGAAAATGACCCCCCTGTGAACTTGAATGCTCCCCCTGTGTCTTGTCATAGTTTCTTCGGAGAAATTGACTATTACATGGGGGGGCGGGGCTGTCACATTAGAGGAAGTGCATATGATAGCAAAGGCCTGGCGACAACAAAGCATGTTGGACACCCGGGAGAGCTGGGCATCCTGACCGTCTTACCATTTCATGGCTTCCATCTTGCACCTAAAGTCTAAACCCTAGGTAGTAGTTACCATTCTCTTTTCCATTGTCCCTCTATAAGCCTATACTATCCCAATATAAACCCCCCCCCCCCTACAAGAATTGTGGTGACGGTGTTCGGGCCTTCTGGTTCAACTCCCGGCCCTTCGATCCTTCCATAACATATCAGCACAGCCCAGTCCTCGCGCCTTCCGAGTACATAGCCCTAGCACGACTACTAATTACTCCTCCTCCCTCTGTGTTGACGTCTCACTACGTTTACTGAACTTGTATTTCTGCTTTTCTACTGCGGCCTCTTCTGAAAGCCCTGAAATATTGCTGTAATAATTAGAATGGATTTTTTGACTTCTGAACTGCTTCGGGGAGCCTCCTGGGAAGTTTCCAGCAGCGCAAGCTTTGCAGCCTCCTTCTTCGCATGCTCCTGCTTGGAGGTTTAAGGTGATTCTAACCCAATTACGACTAGTACTTATAACCCAGTTGTCACAATATTTGGGGACTTAGGGGGCTCATGACGCGGCTAGAGATACAATTCTACTTGGGTTATAAATAGGCTGATTCTCCAAGTGCTGGTATCATCACAAAGCAGGAGAAGAGAGAGAGGAGGCTCAGGATTGGGCTTTGGAGGTTTGGGAGCAGATCTTCAGGAAAAATGTGGTTCGCCGGTTGCGTCCGTGTGATATTGACCATGCTATTCAAGCATTTGTAGGTGGACCCTAGTCGGGAAATATCCCATAGTGCAACAAATATTAGAGGGCAAGCTGGTCATCCAATGCCAGCGGCTGTGCGAGCAAAACACACTAAGACATATAATCATACGCTGCAATAATGACTGTCTCAGTGGCCTTGACCAAAAAAACAAACACAACCTTGCTGGCACGAAAAAACAGCAGTGACAATCAGATTTCTCAACGAAAGCAATACTTCCTGGCTGTTAGTAGGGATTATCAGAATCAATCCCTAGAGTAGAATCCCAACCAGCCAACGCAACGATGATCACTACCAAGCACGAAAACAAACAGGCTAATATTGTAAGCTCCATCTGTGTGTCTTGGAGGGGTCCTCACAACATATACTTTTGTTACCTTTAGTTACGACCAGAATGATACAGTCCGCGTTGTACGTATCTCTGAAAGACCAACCGAAGACCCCTGGCTTCCAAAAAAGGAGTCTACATCTCTGTCGTATCCTCAAGAAATGCCTGTGAAATATCAGAGAGTCCTTGTATCATCCGTTGTCGCTCTATGACCCCGAATCCCCAACCCCATACGACATAGGGTTTGAGGTTCAAGGTTTAAGGGCTAGCGTTACATGCAAAACCCAAACACCCCAAACCTTTCAGATTGTTCAGAAGCCCCGCACTTTTGATCATGAAGCCCTATACAACATCCAACCTCATCTTGGGCTAGTGTCTAGGGTTTAGGATTCAGGCTTTGGGGTTTGAGGTTTCAGGTTCAGGTTTAGGGTAGAGCATGGGGAAAATTAAACAGAAACTGGAACTTTATAGGGGTTGATAGGGATATCCTGAGTAATATCCTGTTGAAGTCTCCTTGATGTACCTGTAGCATGACTATACAAGAAATCTACGACCATCACATTGGTAGTCATAATGAGTTGTGTAGGTCTCTACATTGGCTTGGGGCAACGGAGGACGGGGTGGTGTGGCACAGGCCCTCGTATCCTAAAGCCTAGAGACCCGTCCCTATACATTCCGGTATCTCACCCCTACATAGCCCTACACAATCCCTATGTCCTATGTATGCCTATATAACCCCCACGTACCTTTGCATAATCCCTATACTTGAGCTTGGTGTGGTATGGACCCTAAACCCTACACCCTAAAACCTACACCCTGAACCCTAAACCCCAAACCCAAACCCCAAATCCTAAACCCCTACACCCTAAGCGCAAACCCTAAACCCAAAGCCCCAAACCCTAAACCCTAAATCCTTAAACCCCAAATCCTAAACCCCTACACCCTAAGCCCAAACCCTAAACCCAAAGCCCCAAACCCTAAACCCTAAATCCTTAAACCCCAAAACCTAAACCCCAAAACCTAAATCCTAAACCCTAAACACTAAACCTTAAACCCCAAAACCTAAACCCCAAAACCTAAATCCTAAACCCTAAACACTAAACCTTAAACCTCAAAACCTAAACCCATGAGCGGTCCTCCTCGCGCTTGTTTGGGTCAGCGGCATCGATAGTCTCCACGGCATCCTGAAGGCGCTCAGCTTAGGGTTAAGGCCCCCATAGGGTTTATAGGGTTTATATAGGGGTTATATAGGAATTGTATAGGGTTTATGGGGTTCATATAGGGTTTGAATATGAGGTCTATATAGGGTTTACAGGGTTTTGGGGTTAGAGGGTTTGGAGGTTGGAGGGGTTAGGGGGTGTAGGGGTTTGGATTTTTTCTCCGGGTTAGGGGTTTGGGGTTTAGGCGTTTCCTCTTTGCTGTGCTTGTTTCAAAAAAATGTAATCTG